CTCTGTGTTTCCCATTCTTCCCCAGAGTTTAAAAAAACCAAATGATAGACACTTTGTTAAATTCATATATAGTTTGAACAGAAACCCAGAATAACACAACATCAGACAGCATTTACTTGACGTCTCATTAACCATTGACTGTCTTCACTGTTTGATTTTCATTTTTGCTAAATTATTTTTGATAAAGTAACAATTTTGTAAAGTTCTTTGCGATGATTCTTCTTGGGCTAATCAAAAATAATTGCTTTTGATCTGTTGACTGCTCTCTGTATCATGATAAACTTTTCCATGTAAACCAGTATAATGCAACTTAATAGGGTTTTTTTTTCATGTAAACCAGTATAATGCAACTTAATGGGGATTTTTCCATGTAAACCAGTATAATGCAACTTAATAGGGGTTTTTTTTACATGTAAACCAGTATAATGGAACTTAATAGGGATTTTTCCATGTAAACCAGTATAATGCAACTTAATAGGGTTTTTTTCATGTAAACCAGTATAATGCAACTTAATGGGGATTTTTCCATGTAAACCAGTATTATGCAACTTAATAGGGATTTTTCCATGTAAACCAGTATAATGCAACTTAATAGGGTTTTTTTCATGTAAACCAGTATAATGCAACTTAATAGGGTTTTTTTCATGTAAACCAGTATAATGCAACTTAATGGGGATTTTTCCATGTAAACCAGTATAATGCAACTTAATAGGGTTTTTTTTTTACATATAAACCAGTATAATGGAACTTAATAGGGGTTTCAAGGATTTCAGGAGTTTCAATGTTTCAACAGTTTTTTTAAGTTGGACTCTACATGTTTTTGTAAATGTTGTGTATCACGTTTAGAAGTACTAGTGTATTGCATTATTCAGTTGTTTAGTAGTAATTGTCACAAGCCCAAACACTCCTCATTGGACTAGTATATCTATATATATCTTACATGTGGATGGTTGTGTCTTGAAAACACGTAGAGGGATAGACCATGCCCTCCGCAGGGACTGGTGACTCTCTTCCTCTTTCTGTCAGAGAGGAGGAGGAGGCAACCGCTCTGCTACTTCCTCACTATGAAACTGTATTATCTTCTGAGTAGTTGGATTCTGTGCTTGCATTGGGAGTGGACTTCAAGCTTGTCACATGTGAGTAATCTAAGCCAACGGTCTCTTTTTATCATAGTGGTTTATATTTGCCAAGACCGTTTTTTTTTTTTTTTTAAGCTTTCATTTGTGATTCATGTCGTCTTCAAGGAGAGATCAAAAGCTGTTTTTTTTCCCACAGAATTCCTATATTTTTATGGTGTTTTTCTCAAAGGGATGTGGGTGTCGTTTTTCCTCTGCTGAGAATACTATAACGGTACACTACATTTTCAAGCTGTTTTGACAGAACCTAAAAAAACACACCAAACTTAACTGAAACGACTTGAGAAAATTTAATACAGTGTTTTGAGTTGCCATATTGCTTCTACACTGCACCTGACTCTTGCCTAATGTAGAAGACAGGAAGCTGGCCGGCTTGTTTGTAATGGTGCATTTCCTCCGTGATGCTTCTACTAAGATGGTAAATCAGTGTGAAGCTGGTGTTGTTTTTAAAAAGAGCATTTAAGGTCAGAATGGTCAGTGATGATGGGGTTGAGTTTCCTATTGAGCCTGTAGCCATTAGTGGTTGTGGTTAAACAGCAATGTAATGAATGCTCGTAAACATCTACTCTGATATATAATGTGAGTCAAATAGTGGAAAATTACACAACCTTTCACTGGCAATCAATACAGATGGTTGAATCTTAATGCCATACAATATAGTATAGTTTTTGTCGGCTTTGAATCCATTGCAAAGAATGGGCACAATTAATGTAGTGAGCTAGTCGTATATCCCTAGGTTCATAAATTGGGTGTCATATACAGTATCTTGCCAGTGAAGATGAAAGTTGATCAAAAAAGTTGTCTATTTCTGCCCTGTTCTATTTTGTTATCTCACTCCAGCAGCACAGTCTCGCCAGTATAGACCCTTTCTGCAGTGTCCCATATTCAGTTTTAGACTACACACTCTATAACTTTAACGATATAATTTAAGGCAATTACAGCCTAGTTTTGGTTCATACTGCTGTGGTGTACACTATGTTTTACATTGGGCTTTAAATTAGCTATTTTTGAGCCAATTCCATGTTTAGCCTGTTACTACCCAACCACAAGGTCTCTATTTATTTTTGCTAAGACCTGCTGTGATGTAAAAGTTTCTATGGATTTATCTATTTTTACAGTTTTTCTATCTAGGTACATAAATACAACTGAAATAGCCATTGGGGTTCCTAACTAGGCCAATATAAAATAGGACAGCTATGGCTTGACGGAGTTGAGCCTCAAAATTGTGGCAACATGAAGTTGTTCTGTGTGGTTTCTTGTTTTTTATTATTATATTTCTGAATTCTAAAGAAGGTGTTAGACAATGATTGCAGGCAGGACAGGAGGTGGTCACAGGGTATTGCTTTGAGAGCTGCAAGTCCCATGACGGTCTCATAGAGACAGGGCTCTGATAGAGAAAAGGCACCAGGGGCTGATCACAGAAGTGTACAAGACGAACAGTGGAAGCATGTTCCACTAATAACCTGCAGCAAACTTGTGAAGGAAACCTGTTTATCCGCACACTGTATTGATTAGAGCAGCTGAGGCTTTGGTTGTGACCAGAGCAAGGGATTCCTGTTTGTAAGCACAACTTGGCCATCTAGTATCCTGTCGTTTTGTAGTAAAAATTAAAACATTACATTCTGGATATTTCAAATCAATCTCTTTTTGTGCAGCCAAAATCACAAGAGCAGTTGTCTCAAAGAAATTAAACAATTAAGACAGTCTTTGCACCAAGTGCACCAATCAGGATTTTGGAGAATAAACTATTGGTCACAATAATGTGAAAATATTATATAGAAAATTAAACGAGCAAAAAAGTATGTGTGTCAGTTTCAGCTGGTGGTGTCGTTCCATGTGGTTGTTTTCAATTGTTTTCATAACGGTTGGGGAACACTAGGAGATATATTCCTAATAATTTTGCTCAACACAGGCACATGGTTGGCCAGGATTTTTTCAGATAAAAACACTGTCAAATTGACCTTTCTATTTTTCACCCAAAGGGACAATCCAAAGGTTGTTCTGGTCATTCTTTGGTACCGCCATATAGTTTGAAATTGAATAATTTGTTTTCATTCAAAAAATGGGTTAAAACAAGTTTCACCCTCTGTTCCTTTCTTCCAATAGAACATATTTACATGTATAAATATTAGTCAGAAAGCACATAGCCACAGGTTCATTTAGACAAAATGCATGCATAAGCTGAGAAATCCCTCCATTTATGTGTAATGTTCCTATTCAAGAATTTACCCAGGCTTAACAGGGTAATTCAATAATACACAAGGATATATTATCTTTTGTAAACCCTCAATTGGCATTACAATTATTTCAAAATTGCATTTTGATTTCCCTCCTTATATCCTTCACTTTCAAAATGCAAACTTGTCACTAATCACCTTTTTCTCTGAGAAAAAATTTATTTATGTAAATCATGTAGATCTTCAATAAACTACTGTGGAGGGCTAAGGGGTCTGGAGGCTGCAGTACTGTTCGGTGTTGTATTGCTTCGTCCAGGCATTCCTTGTTGGGGCAGCAATAGGCCCTACGCTCTGTTGGGGCTTGAGTCTAAATATAAGTAAATACTGGATGTTCTGAAATTCAGTAGAATGCAGGAAAGTTCTTTTTTTTTAAATTAAATTCCCCCCAAACCCAGTATGTACCATGAATACTCACAGGGTTCTATGGATGGGGCTAAACAAAGCTGCTGTTTGGGAAGAAGCACATGGATCCCATTGATCAGTGACAGATCTACATGTTTATGGAGAAATCTCTATTGTTCAAACACAAGGCCCACGCAGTTTATGTAAAGCAGGGAACCCTCGTCAAAATTACAATGGATTATTCACTGGACTTGTTTCGTAGAAGCTCTGAGCGCTGCAGGTAATTCGTAACTTTCTCATATAAATACACACTCAGTGACGCTGATGCCTATACACTGATAAAAGACCGCAGAAAAGGTGATGAGGAGAATTTGGGGCAAAAATCCTATACATTCTAGTTTTTTCCCCCACCTTTCAAAGGCCAGCAGCCCTTTGAAGGTAGATTGGGTCTTGTTTATGTAATCATAATGTACTGTATAATGTATAATGTTGTAATTTTCCTTTATTCTGAGGGCCAACTTAAGGACATAGATTGTTTCATTACAAAGCCCAGGGATCTTTATCATTCCTAAACCCTCAGTTGAGGAAGTTAATGATGCTCCACGTCCCAGAATTAGCTGGTTTCCTCATTATGATCCCTCTAACTCCACATTAAATCCCCCCTGACCACCTTACCCCAATCGATGCCCCACTGCGCTCCGGACCGCCCCCTCGCACGCCTGTTTAAGTGCACTAGTGCTGCTGTGTCTGAATGAGCACCTTTCCATATGGACAGCAGCGCTCCGTCAACATCCTGTTTGAGCTTTTTGTTCTTGCAGCTCTTGCGGCTGCATACCTGATGTTAGTGTTACTGATGTTAAAGTGTTGAGCCAGCACTGAGGTCTGCCAGCTTCAATAAAAAGTGTTTTCCATTTTCCTCCCATTTTACCTTAATGACCCTGTTGATATAAGGACTTGTACTTTTGCTATGCATTTTTCTACTGTAGAGACCTCTGCACGTTATCCTCTAATTTAACTTAATGAGTCCAACTTCATTGGTGCGACAAATTGGTTATGTTTACCTCTCATCCATAACAATAATTCAAGTCTTGAGCCTTACTTTCAGTGTCATGCTTTTGCAGGACAAGATCCAAAGGTTGTAATTTAAACAAAATGAAGCATAACGTGACATCTGTGTTTCCTGGCTCCAGCTCCAGGGGGCTGTTAAGACACAGGAAAAGTAACACGTCTTTTTCATAACTTGTCTTCTTTCTCCTCTGCCATTCCTAACAGCTGACGCCCAGCCATGATGAAAGCGGGCGTCACCAAGGTGGGGCTGCCCAAACCTGGGCACGAGCGCACCCGGCCAGCCTCTGTAAGCTCCACCACCTCTGTAGCCACGAAGCCTCCCAGGTCAAATCTGCTCCCGCCTGAGCCGCGCCTCACCAAGGTGAGCTGTGCAATATGTCAACTACAATGTGTGTTGTTACAAGATCTTCCAATGATTGGCCTTTCACTGGCTCCTGATTCAGCTCTGTGTTAATTTTAAAGTTTTGTGATATCATATTTTATTTTATAGTTAGTACTTGTATATCAGGTGCCACAGTGGGACAGCAGTGGCTCTAATGTAGTTGACTAGAACAAACATATAATAAATAATAAACTATGTAAGGTAAAGCATTTATAATTCATATACATTATACTATTAGGATAAGCATTATTTTATTTCTATTTACATTCTATTTACATTAGCTTATTTGGCAAAGAACATTTACAAACTGAAACTCTCACTTTGTTAAAGGGAGCCAGCCTTATAAATGTGGCCAGTTAAAATTATTGTATGACCTAAGACCTATATACTGTTTGTCAATGTTTTTTTGACTGCAACTGCAATTTTTTTATGTTCCATTACTAAAGTGTGGTGTATTTTTAGTTAAAGCGAGCCAACAGTGATGATGCGTTGAACAAGCCTAACCTCAGTGCTGCTGCTGGATCTCGGATGAAGAAAACAGTGACGACAGGAGCCATCTCAGAGCTGGCTGAAGCGAGACCCCGTGGCTTTGGAGGTAACAGCAACAACACAGCTCCATCTGCATTCATGTAGTCATTGCTCTGATCAGCCACTAGAGGGCGTCAGTGAATAACTTAACCTGGCTCTTCCCAAGCACCAGGCTTCCAGTTAACTGTGGTGTATAGAAAGGAGGACCTCTTTAATATTCTTGTGCTTGATATGTCTTTATTAACTGCTAAATATACTGCTATATTTTTTCTTGATTTTATTTACAAAAAAATAGACAATTATTTTGTTTTAGAATGCTGACATATTTTATGATTCAGTTGTCATTTAAGTGTGCCCTTGTTCAGTTGGTGAAGAGAAACGACGCATAATTGATATGGCTAATTTCCTTTTCCCACCCAAGGCATAATAATATATATTGGATTTGTTTGATGCATGCATATTTGTGAATTTCTTTTGTTGTTAAATGCAGTTTGGCTTCTGATAAATGCAACCCGTTTTGTTTCCTAAGCTTGGTTCAATATTGCAGGTCTTTGGCGTACACAAAGCAACTGTGAAGCTATCTCTGATTTTGTTTGAAAAGCTCGTCCATTGCACACAGTCTCGTCTGTTGGGCCAATCCGCTCATGTAAATGACATGCTAAAATGTTGCTTCAGAGGCTGGTTAAGCTCAAGCTGAGATAAGTGAATTCTTTATGATAAAAGACTTTGGTTTCACAGCCAAGAAAGGCTCCCAAACACACGCGGGCCCTGAGCCGCTCAAAGACTGTTTTTGTTTTTCCAAGAACATAATTCTTGCGATTATTTTGAGCATCAAGAACATGCAGATAATATTTGTTTTTATTTTTCATATTTTGCTATTGGTGTGCATGTCTTTGTCCGTGATACGGATTGAATCACAATTTAGATGCCATGTTATAAACTGACCCGGAGGACACAGACAGACAGTATTCCAATTATTGCTCTCAACACATGGTCTCATTATGTGATGGAGGCGTATTCACTCATGCTAACGATAATTATAATAGTAGTGCACTGTCAGTGTTCATTTTCGTTGATTTGTTGAATAGTCAAAAGTACAGGTGCTCCTTCAACTGCTGTGTGTTGTTCCTTTGGCCAAAACATTCCACCATTTGCATAACTATTATTCCCACTAGGAATGTATGGATTCAACAAAACAATTCTATAGAATGATACAGGTGATTATCCGTATCCGACCTCCGGAAATTGCATTCCACCACTTTAATATTGATGTTCTCTTAGCTTGTTTATGTATTTGCATTTGCAATTGTTTTAGTAGTCTACCAATAACAACACTATATTGTAGGACTGTTAGATAGACAGATAGATAGATCTAGATATTGATCCCCGTAGGAGAAATTCAGGTGTCCAATAGCAGCAAAAATGAAAAATAAAAGAGCGGCAGAGATGGAGCAGCCCCTTGGTGGAGTAGGATGGGTCAGAGTTATTGGTTGGTAGTTATTAGTTGTGTTTACTATTTTTATTCCTCTATTTAGTTGGTAAATGGGGCCCTGAAAGGCCTCTGAGCACCCCCAGGGGAACAGGACCCCACTTTGGCAAAGACCAATCATAAAGCAAAATTAATCGACAACATAGTTCTCTCCTTCCCAGCGTATTGAATACTTCTGCTCAGACGTCAATTAAATACATTGAACTGTTCCATAAAATCATGTTCATCTCCTTTGGTGTGAAACCACTTGTGACAGGTGAAAGAGTGCTTCCAGTCAGCCGCAGCCATGAACCGTGAATATTTGCAGTCTCGCACACCACACCTGCCACTTCAGGGTTTCTACACAGTAAATGAGTCGGCAACGATGGCTGATGATTGATAGTTCAGTCTTCCAAGTGTTAAGTCATCCATCCGTGTGTTCCATTTTAGGCAAATATAAGTGGAACAACTGTGCACCTATTGGCTCCTCTGTCACCAGCTCAGTGTGTTGTGCTCTCAGCTGTGTGTGCTCGAGAGAATCCTCAGTGGGATGTAAGAAATGTTTTATCAATGACAATATGATGCAGTTGGCTAATGGTATCGCAATGTTTCATATTGACCTGAACGTAAATCTAGTTTGAGGAAATCACTGTTAATGAGGAGGGAACGCTGCAGTGATGTATCATGTATTTTTTATGTCTGTTCCAAAACTAGGTCAGTTGTGGTTGTTCTCTTTGTTCTCCGCAAAGGAAGTGTATAAGGGGGATACAAAGAAAAAGCATGTGCTGTAGTGGGAGGGGGCAATTGTGGCGAATCAATTCTAATCTAGTATAATCACAATATATCATATTGATTACTGTAATTATAATTACTCATCATTATTGTGTTTTGATATTTGTAATCCATAATGTAACTGCACTAGATGCTTAAATGTTATAAACGTTTAGAATGATAAACATTATTATTAAATCAAAAGTTGTACATTTACTGACGTGTCGACTACTAAAAGTGACCATTATTTACAGCCATAATGAAAATAACTGAATGTTAAACTCATTTTTTAAACCCCCTACACATACGTCATGAACCATGAACATATTAATACTATCAAAAATGAACTATGTAACACAATCCATCCAACTATAGTTCCTGGTTCTAAAACATGGTTCTATCACTAGTTTTCACAAACATGTATTTTAGGCCTGTCACGTCTTAAGCAGCTTTTCCTGACAGAAGACTACCTTCACACAGCCAATAAGCTCTCAGTCCAAAGCGTCAAATAGTGACTGATGGGGCTCTTTCTAAAAAAGTATGCAAAAATAACATGTTAAGAACCCAACGTTAGTACATTATTTGTCCCAACAGAAAGATAAAGTATTGTTTATAACATTCAGTTACAAATATAATGTTGAAAATGTTTTCTATAGATTTAAATTGTGCATTGACCTCAAGTTAAATCTACTAAATTATTTATACATTATACGTTACACAGTTGGTACGTCATACATCAGGTCATGTGGTTCACAGCCTGCCTCGCCCCTCTGGCCCCTCTGGCCCTTTTGGCCCCTGCCAGCACACTCATGAGTCAGTGTTGTTTTAGCTAATGGACTTCTGCCCATTGGCACTTTACCAGCCCTCCACGCTGTCAGTCCATGGGCTAAAACCTGCCTGTTCGGATGACTTATTTAAGTAGCATTCATCAATAATGCAGTTAGGCTTTCACTAAAGGAGGGGTCCCTGAGGGGCAGACAGGACTCTGTGCAGACAGGACTCAATACATAAACCAAAGCTCTGTGGGGATGCTGAGCTGGGTACTTCATTGGACACATATAGTTCAAGAATATTACACTAGCATCAGTACATTTGAAATAGTGTGAACTTGTCAGGTGCCATACCTGCTAATGTTTTATCAATATTTTGTTTTCATTTGTAATAAATTACCAATTTTATTTTTTAATTTCTTGAGTCAGAGTTTAAATGTTTTTTACTACTATATTTTTATACTACGGTTTGCATCAAATTCTGAGTGGAAATTTAAAGTCCATACAAGTGAATTTTATTACATTTGAGAATTTGCTGCAGATTTTTCAAATTTAGCCATGTTGTTAACATATAATTTCCCTGGTTATAAAGGATGACATCACCCAGAGATGGTACCTAAACTATAATCTGCCCTTACCTCACAAAAAATTGAACTCTAACAATTTCTTTAAGTCTGTCCAATGATACAATCCTCATGTTAATGTTGCTTTCTTTAGCTTCATGTAAATGTCCTGTTGACAATTCCATTAAGGCAAATGTAAATAAGACATTACATAGTTATGGGTTGATTGTATTAATCTTGGGTCACTAAAATGGTCTTGCATGTTTTATGCATAACTGACAATAATGAATTAACATTTGATTCAATAATAAGAAATGTAACTTTCATATAGTTATCTTTTATTCATCTTAAAGAAATAATATTCTTAACAGCATCTTTTTTGTAACTGTGACCTTCATAAATAAAATGAAAATTCTCCTTGATGCATGAAGACGTTTCACCTCTACCATCTGCTCTGTTCTGCCCCTTACCTGAAGCAGCATCTGGCTCCATTTCCTTCATTCTCTTTAAACAGAAAGTGCTGCATTATCTTATTTTGTTCAGCACTTTGAGTTGCCTTGTGTGCTAATTGTGCTATACAAATAAACTTGCCTTGCCTTGCCATTATACTACTACGGCCGCTTCACATGAACCTAGTTTCTTTGAGTTTCAGTTTGGCTGTGTCATTCTCAGCAGTACATGTGCAGCGTCACAGGGCTCACCTTCAAGCCCCTATGCTTTTGAAGGTCTCTATAAGCAGATAATAACAGCATCAAGGCAAGGATTTTTATCAGTGGAGTGAGATGTATGTAATGTGCAAGGAACTTGAATATCTATAATAATGTTTTATTATTTGTTACTTTTTAATTGGCCATTCTCTTTTCCCTCATGGCAGTAAATGAAGTGAAAGCTCTCAGAATTTCTATTCTGTTTGTTTCCCAAAGACTGAGCTGCACATACGTTTTTTTCTTCTTTCCAATGAAAGCAATTCTCTATTAACATCATATGCAGCTTATTGTGGGCAGGTCCAGGTCACTATTGAAAAAGGCAGGATTAATCCCAATGGGGTTTAACCTGCTTAAATAAAGGATTATGGATCTTTCTGAAATACTTTTATATTTATACAGCCCTCATGAAAATAACAAAATGTTAAACTCATTTTTTAAACCCCCTACACATACATCATGAACCATGAACATACTTATTACTATCAAAAATGACCCATGTAACACAATCCATCAAACTATAGTTCCTGGTTCTAAAACATGGTTCTACCACTAGTTATTCACAGACATGTATTTTAGGCCTTTCACGTCTTGATAAGCTTATCCTGACAGAAGACTACCTGTCAGGAAAAGAAAGCACTGTATATCTACACTAATAATGTAGATATATTAGTTTTATTTTCTTTCTTTCAACAATGTAGGCAAGGAAAGTTTTTCTGTATAGCTATGGGGATCAATAAAGTATCTATCAATCAAAGTGCTGAAAAAACTAGAGAAACAATCAGACACGG